CTAATCTCAGCGGCGCCACTTAAAAAAAACAGTCTCGCGGACCTGTCAATCTAGACGAACCAGACAGACCCTGGCTCGCGGTCCTGCTGTGAGAGCCGCTGCCTGATTGGCCGAGAGCGGCGCGGCCTGTGAGACCTGAGCGCCTATTGGCTGCAGCCTGTCGAGACACTGACGCGCACGACGTCTCCCCCCTATTGTTATTGTGGTGTGCGCGAGATGCACGAGGAGACAGCGGGGCTGATAAATGGATAAAACAAGCGAGAAACACGGAGCTAGCGCAGCGCACGGTGTGAGAAGTATGCATTAGCTGGTTCCGCCCAGGACCCACAGAACCATCCTCTGTGAGCGGAGCCACAGGTCCAATACAAAGGGCTGTAAACAGCAGCCCGGTCAGCACCAGCATCGAGAGGCATCTGAGGGCAGCAGGAGCCACTTGTCGGACCGTCAGCGATCTTTGTGCCCGAGGGTCCGCTCAGTTCGGCAGATGTGTGAGTAGAACCGGTCTCATTGTTCCACCGTGTGAGCCGACCGGAGGGGGGGCGGGGAGCCAGAGCCAGGTTAGCTTCCCAAAGTGTCGCTCTCTGACCGGGTCTGTCCGCAGCAACTGCTGCTCCTCGGTGCCGCTGCTCCAGCTGCCGTCCGGACCGACCGGTGGTCGTTCTGGGTTCAGCTGCTTCAGATGTTTCATGTGCGTTTAGTGGCTGAACCTGAGCTGGAGGTGAATGCTGTGTTCCGTGTGTTTCTGTGGTACCAGCTGCTCCTGGACGTGTTGAGGCAGCGCGCTCCGTGACGCACGTTCACCAGGACGGGATGTCATGGAGGCAGACGGCTGGCCCGGTGGCTGCTCAGGCTTCATACCTGCACACAGGTGACGCTCCGTGGCCTGGCTGGGCTGACCACCGCGCAGAGGGCTGCCCTCCGGCTGGTATCAGGCTGCTGGGAGGCTGGGGCCTGTACCAGGACCAGTGTTCCTGTACCAATACCAGGTGTTTCTGTACCAGGACCAGTGTTCGTGTACCAGTACCAGTCTTCCTGTACCAGGACCAGTGTGTTTCTGTACCAGGACCAGTGTTCCTGTACCAGTACCAATGTGTTCCTGTACCAGGACCAGTGTGTTCCTGTGCCAATACCAGTGTGTCTGTACCAGTACCAGTGTGTTTCTGTGCCAGTACCAGTGTGTTCCTGTATCAGGACCAGTGTGTTTCTGTACCAGCACCAGTGTGTTCCTGTATCAGGACCAGTG